AGGGGAGGTTGTAGGGTGGCGGCGAGGAGGAGGAAGAGGAGGAGGGGAGGTTGTAGGGTGCGTCGTAAACGGTTATCGTATCAATCATCAAGTCTGGGATGTCGTAACTTTTGCACGCGAAGTGTTGCGCAGAAGTTATGAGATTATGAGCTAGACTCGTGCGGTGGTGCAGTCAAATATCTCAACGCCGGCAACCCTCGGGACCGTCCATTGACTCCATTCAGTTCGGTTTATTGCGAAGTTCAGTTTATGTGGGTGGGGGGAGATATTCCAGGCATGTCTTACATGTATCAGGTGTTTGGACTTGAAAAATTTGTCCGGTTTAACGTGAGATTTGGTTTTGAGGGAGTTCGCAATTTTGAGAGTTGTCTGCAGTTGTACACTCGTGATTTTTTCCGGGAGAGTTTAGACCTTTAAGTCTTTAACTGCAGGTACTTGATTATTGTACAGTACTGGGTGAAACTGTGTCTCAGAAATTCCTGAGAATTTATGCTACTTTATACACGTTTCAATGCAACGCTGGCCTTTTTTCATTCCATTGCCTTTTTTTATTTGAATAATTTACATTTCGCTAATAGATATTCAAACGGTCTCGCATTCCTGGCAATCAATGACATTACATTACATACGTGGACTGTTTATTTGACCGTGATGTCCTAAGCGTTCCGCCCCAGCATTCATCCACTGACAGAAAAATCGACTTGCCAGATTCTTGAGTTAAATAGCCCTGCAGGAATTTGCTCCGTGCGCGTGGAACGTGGTAGGTGGGTTTAAGAACCTCAATGAGGGATTTAAATTTGTAAAAGTAAGTTTGAGGTTTTGGGTCCGGTCCAAGTCCGTGTTGGTGGTTGTGGTGGTGGTGGTGTGTGTGTGTGTGTGTGTGTGTGTGTGTGTGTGGTGTTGTTGGGGGGGGGGTCTATGGCGCCTCTAACACAAACTTCCCACTTAGGCTGAGAGGGTCTATGTCCCCCAGGCTACTGCCGGAACGTACCCTGGGTAACGTACCCTGGTACTATCTAATATGCCGGACCGTACCTCGCCTACTCCACTAACGAGTCTAGGGAGTCGCCTACGCCTACTCCCTAACCATAACCCTAACCCTAACCCTAACCATATCAGATAGTTACCAGGGTACGTTCCGGCAGTACCCTGGGGGACATAGACTCTATGAGCCCCACTTAGTACAACTCTCCGTACAAGCAGTACTAGGCTTTGAGGTCGAGAGTAGCGGGTTAGGCGCTCAAATACATACCAATACAATGAGAACATCACATCATTAATGAAAAAAGAAGATTTGTGAGTGATAACGACCGAGCTGCTGATGCTTATCTGGAGTTTGAAACCGATTTTAAACCTTTAAGACAACAAACTGTAGGCTACGCTACGTATCGCTGGGACATGGCATTCCTCCAGGCTGTTGAAAGCCACTGCCATTACTTGCCTCGTATGTTTGGGAGCACGCAGCGCAGTGTGTGCGTGCGTGCGTGCGTGCGTGCGTGCGTGCGTGTGGGTGTGTGCGTATGTGTGTGTGTGCGTGTGTCTGCGTATGTGTGTGTGCGAGTGTGTGTGTGTGTGTGTGTGTGTGTGTGTGTTTATGTGTGTGTGTGTGTGCGCGTGCGTGAGTACGTGAGTGCGTGCGTGCGTGGGGACACAAATACAGACAGCACTCCCACAGAGAGCTATT